TCTTCCATCTGGAATCTGCAGCTGGTTCAAGTACACTGAGCTCATCTTCAAGCTACAGTGAAAGTTGCAACATTAGTAGTACCAGCTACTCGGACATTAAGGCATAACATCAAAGCTCCATCAAGACTCTTGTAAAGTTACTGTCTGGTAATGCAGGTACTGGACAGTAGATGAAATATAGAAACACCAGACTTCTGTTTCTTTTGGTTTCTTTCCGTGTTTAAATGGTAGTTTATGAAGTCTTCTTAAAGAGACCCAAATAAACATCTACGGAATTCATCAAGAGCATGGAGCAGTTGGAAGGATTGTTGGAAAGAAAGTCTTCTGGAAGTTGCATGTTAGAAATCTATCACTTTGCTAGAATTCAGTGCACCTTGCTGTGGATGGTGTGGGAAAATACTGTAAAGAAACCAGACTGTATTTGTTGGTGTAAATCTGTACAATAAAACAAGTATGAGGGTTAATGTGTATGGGTGAAAAAAAAAAAGAAAATTGATCTTTAAGCAAAAGTCTCATGTGGTAGATATATAATGTATGGAAAATCTTATACCATCAGGGGATTCAGTTTTGATCTGGCTATTCCTTCTGACTTTTTTAACCACTGTGCTTTAAATTGCCACAGGCTTTGTCACCAGCAAAGCTGGGGGGGCGGGGCGGAATGAGCAATTCCACTTTTAACAGAGACAATACTTTAAAGAAAATAGTCTGCAACAATGGCCTTTTTGAGAGGTTTTTTTTAAAATCACTAAACCAAATTCCATAACAAGGATAATTGTTTACAGAATGTTGGCAATTTGATAAGTACTTTGATAAAAACAAATCCTATTTTTTTAATTATGAAGAAAACCACTGAAACACATTTTATATTAGTTAAAAGTATTTCTCACTATTATCTAATATCATACACTTGTCATCAGCGCATAGAAGACAGCCCCAAATGAAAAAATGAAACTTTTCTATTAGCCCTGTAAACTAAACTCCTTTCTGCTATTAAAGATTGAGAACTGCGTTTAAAAAGAAACCTTTTATGAACAGAGTTTGTTTTTTTTAAAAACAGAACAAAAGGAAAGCCATAAACATGCCGTGTTCATCGTGTGAAATAAAGTAATGCGGTATAAGTTCCTCCCTCTCAGAGCCGTCTTACAAATGTAAACAGTTTATCAGTTCATTTATATCAAGATGGATTCTCCCATATTTCACATACTTCTGAATTCACGTAGAAGTCATGTAGATTGTTCCTCATTCATATATTATATAATGCAATGCCACTTGGGAATGGGTGCTGGACTTTCAGCACTTAGGTAAGCTAGGCAGCCATGGTATGGCAAGAAACAATTAATTTGGCCTTTTGCTTCCTGAACTGTTAACAAAGTCTTCGAGAGTCAAATTATGGTTCCAAACTCTAGAAGTAAATCTGGGCTCACAATTTACAATCAAGCTACGACTGACCCTGGTCAACAAATTTTTTTACATGTATCTGTCTGTTTATATGTATGTGTGTATGTATCAATGTAAAAAGATGTATTTATACTCTTCAGGCTGCTAAAGATGCTATTATGTAATTGGAGTTCTCTGAAAGGCAGCAGTGTGGAAGCTGTCCATGGCTTTACTTTAAGCCCCATTTCTGGCACAAGACGATGCATCTCTTCGAATTATGTTACGCAAGCAAGGCTGTACCAGTCAAGGCACAGCCTGTTCTGTTGCGATAATTAAAATAGCAATAGTCTTTGTAACTTATTTTGTAAATACAAGTGTTACAAAAAATATCCTATGTTGCTTCAAAACTTGTCCCTTCATGAAACACTGGAGGCAGCCCTGAAGGGGTCTGAGTACGCACCCAGTACAGACATGGGGGCTTTGCTCATATTCTTGCCATTCCATGTAGGGAGCGTGACAAACAATAAGCTACTCTTTTGTAGAGTTTTTTTAAGCAGTTTATTAATGCTCAGTCTCATGTGAAGGAGAAGTACTGGGGAAGGAAGACTGTGGAGAAGGCCCTTGTCTCAAGTCCTGTGCCTTTTCACCTAGCTCCTGACCATGTCTTCTCCCATTAGTCACAGGAATCATGTATCATTGCACTTTACTACTGCCCACATTTCAATTTTCTACTGCTGTTGTAAATTACTATTGCAGAATCAAATGTCTTTAATGTATGTATGAAACTTTGAATAAATGTCAGCATTTCTTGCTGGGGCCTATTAAGCACGGCTGTTTTCCCTCGCTTTCACCATACCATATCCATTGGGTTTTCTTTGTCATTCGGCATTGATTTTCCTCACTTCAGTGCTCAGTTCATTTTCTGGTCACTGTTTCCCCAGGTTTTCTGAGAGTGCTTTTGTGCCGATTTTTTCCTTGTTTCATTTCCAAGCCGAAGGTAATTCAAAAGCATACAGATTCCCTTGGATTTCCCACACAGACCCCTTTGCTGCCCCTCAAAGGTCATTCCACCCCACCCACGTCGAGGTCGTTCCTCCCACTCTGCATCTTCCACCATCCTTCCTCCTTCATTGTTGTACAAGCTCCATCGATTACCCTTTCCCTCACTGTTTTAATTTTTTTTTATAAGCGGCATAAGTTTAGCGATATGAGACTATTGCTAGTCTCGGATTGCTAAATAAAAAATAAATAAAATGATGCGGGGAAGTTTAAAAGGAGCTGTGTGAGGTTTAGTTTCCTGCTGGTATTTACTTGAAAGGGGGATCAGAGAAGAGGCAAACAGCAGCATCCCCAGTGCAAAAAAAAAAAAAAAAGGATTTCAGTGCAGCGTGCATCCCAGGTTAGACTACTGTAACTCAGTGTACGCAGGTCCACCCTTGAGACAGACCCGGAAAGTATAACTGGTCCAGAATACAGCAGCATGGGTTGGGTTCTAACAGGAACTCCATTAACAGCCCACATTCAGCTGGTGCCCCCCAAGAGCACTTTACTCAGGAGAGAAGAACTTACTGGTGGATCCCTGGCCTGAAAAGTATCCGGCTGTCCTCAACCAGAGCAAGGACCTTCTTGGCCTTGGCACCTACTTGGTGGAGCTCCCTGCTGGATGACATCAGGGCCCTGTGGGACTTAATGCAATTCCACAGAGCCTTGTAAGACTGAAATGTTTTGCCAAGCTTATAGTTGAGGATAGCAATGGGTTCCATCTAGCCTGGCTCCTCCTCTCCCCACTGAGAAAGGACACTAAGCGTTGTTGTTGTTGTTGTTATTTCAACTTCTATCCTACCCATTTCCTGCAAGCAGGACTCAAGGCAGCATACAACATACAGCAACACATAATAAATACATACCATAATAATAAAACAATAAAATACATACAGTACAGATAACTTAGCATTATCAGATGGCAGAACATATCTATCCCAAAGATAGTTGGGTGGCTAGCGTAAAATCATGTTCCACCCATGGGAGATTCTTAACCAGAAGAGTGGAGAATAAAAAGGGGGGGGAGGAGAACCCAGGAGGCCACCAGTCTCTAGCCGTCACTGTCCTCAACCATATGCTCGGTGGAATAACTCACAGGCCCTATGGAACTGAGCCAAGTCCCACAGGTCCTGCCAGAGGACTCCTCCCCCATACAAATTGCAGCCCTGTGCAAAGTGTGGTAGAGTTGCAGCCAACTTTGCACAGGCGTATGCACACGCATTGCCAACAATCACAGCTTGCAATGCCAGTGTCAGTGAGTTCTACCATGCATTTTGCACACTCAGTGTGTTCTCCCATATTATGAGATTGTGTGACTCTCTCCCATTTTTTACAGTGGCCGATGACGCAGCAGAGAATCCCCTAGTGCTTGGCAATGTGGAAAATGGGGCTTCGCAGCTGCTTGTCAGTTTCAGAAAAAGACTAGTCTGCTTCAACATCAGGTTTTCTCCTTTCTTCCCTTTCATTCCATGATCTAACACTAAAATGCATTAGTAAAACCAGAACCACGAGGATTTAAATGGAAGGTGCTTGCTGGACGCTACTGCACAGCTGCGATATGGCAATTGTGTAAACTTTTTAAAAAACTTTGGACACCACCCCCACACGTCACAAGTGATGTTTCCACCCTAATTTAGAAAAGTGCATTTTTTAATTGTAGCTGCAGAATAAATACACTGGAAGAAAAAAATAGTGCGTAAGGTGGGCACAGAATCCAAGGTCAAGCTTAAAGGCTTACTGCTTAGAAAATCTGCAGTAAGATGTGTGTGCATAATGGGCCTGGTTCTCACAACATGCTTGGTGGTGGAGTATGTGGTTTATTGTTTCATGGTCACTACAGAGTGTCATAACTGGTGCAGTGCGCTCACTGGTCCCCTCCTCTGCTCGAAGCAAGTGGGATGTTGTGCATGTGTCATATATAAATTCTGGCAGCATCTTGCCGAACCCAGAAAAACCTCTGTGCGGTGCACAATTATGCTTAACTTTTATTTCTCTGTTTTCAAGTACTGGGAGAGAACTTAATGGGATGGATCCAACTTACTTTTACACTCAGTCTTGCCCAGTTCTCCTGTTGCATATGGCTTTTGTCCATGTAGGTCTCATAGTCCCCAGCATAATCTTTTTGGGTGGTCGAAGAGGACCCTTCCTCCCTTTTTCATCAGCAGAAGATCTGGTTGGATCTACTCGAGTATGAACAACAACTTCATGCATTTATCTCAGAGCACATGTCTCACTCAGCTTCTCTTCATTCAGTGACTCTTGGCTGAATCTGTGAAGTGCTTTCATTGGAGAGTGAGGGTATGAGGTGACATGAAAGCTGTATAGTGTGACAGCCATTGTGCCATGTGAAAGTTGTGCATCAGGTGATGAAATGTGCACATATGAACACCCCATGTCAGTTTGGTGTAGTGGTTAGGAGCGCAGACTCTAATCTGGGAGAACTGAGTTTGAGCCCCCACTCCTCCACATGCAGCTGCTGTTGTGATCTTGGGTCAGTTACAAGTTGTTTCAGAGCTGTTCTCTCAGGAGCAGTCCATGAAAGAGCTCTTTCAGCCCCACCTAACTCACAGGGTGTCTGTTGTGGAGAGAGGAAGGGGACTGTAAGCTGCTCTCCTTTGGGTAGTGAAGGGCAGGGTATAAATCCAATCTCTTCCATTTCAGAGGCGCTTACTTCCATGTAAGTAAATTTAGGGTTAAGAGTCTGGTTGGGGCAGACAGGGCAACTGTGGGAGGTGAAGGTAAGTACAGGTCAAAACAAGGATGAAATACAGCTATTGTCCATTCCACTCAGTCTGCTAAGGGCAGTCATAGCCTACATGGACCCTATTCCAAGCACCCTATGTTATGGCTCTGAAATCATTTCTAAACATGGGGGAAATGTTGTCTTGGATGCCATGGTCAATCTCCACTGTTGGAAGGGTAGTTTATGTCATTATTTGCCTTTCTGGATTAATCTACCTGGGCATGAGTTTGCAGTCTGTAAAAACTCTTGCAGTTGAACATCAATCACGTATGCCTAATAAAAACACTTTGTGGGAAAGGGTCATACTTATGATGATTTGTGTGGGCTTTTTTTGTTATCTGTAAACCATCACCACTTCCCTTTCATCTTACAAATTTTCAGAAGTTATTACAATGACAGGAGGCATCTTGGATTTTCAGATTAAAAATGTATATGCTTCACAGGCTTAATAACAGTTTGGATTTCTCTCGTTTTGTCTGAGTAATTATTCAACAGGTCATTGTAGTGTGTGATGGAAGTAGCTGTGAACCTGTGTATTGTTCAGAATGTTTATCAAGTTGATAGGTCCCTGTATGTTTTCAGTACATGTGTGATATGTAATTGGGTTTTCTTTGCCTATAGTATGATATATTGGAGATAACGAGGAATATGCCTTTAAATCCTTGGCCTTTTTAATTGGATTCATAACACAGCTGAATGGAATTGAGTGGTTAGTTTCCACTAAGTGTGGTGATCTTGTTAACGTTGTCAAAGAGCTTTTTAGCCAACGTAGGCATAGTTAGCTTGACATTCTAAACAGAAGCACAGTGTCTGTTCATTATTCAGTGCCTGTAATTTAGAAACCTAACCCTGAAAAAACACTACATTCCTTAGATGTGAAGAGGTCTTTACTGTTTTATCTAGAAAGAATAGAACAAAAGGTTGCAGGCAATCTCCACACCTGTTTGTGTGCTTCTCTGGTAGTTCAAAGGGGAAGCCAGCATCTGTGCAAACAGTTTCTAGGTTAATAGTCTCGGCTATCCAACTGGGCTACGAGCAGGTCGTGCTACTATGTCCTCTGGAACGTCAAGTGTACTCTACAAGAGTGCAGCCAGCGCCAGCAGCATTTTGGAGAGGGACCCCTTTAAACGACATCTGCTCAACAGCGACGTGGTCATCTTCAGACACCTTTGTCAAGCTCTGTTCTGTGGGTGCGAATGTGAGAAGAGATCCAGCAGCTGCACTCCTTGTTCAACTGAAACTCACTCCATTTCCAAGGCAAGGACCTCTATAGTCTCCCAGTGTGGGACTGTAGAAGACTGAAGATGAAAACACTGTTACTTGCTCATTGAAGTGTCTTCTGTGCAGGCACACATTCCTTCCCTCCTACCCTGCTGTGAGTTCATAGGATGAAGTTACACCTGTGACACTCGCGGCAGCTCAGGAGGACTGAGGGAAAGGGGGCCCCTCCCTGCAGAGCACATGACTGTTGTGCAGTAAAATGGCCTGTAATGAGCTCTGCAGGGGAGGGACTCTCAGAGTGTTGAATAGTACCAGAATAGCTGTAAGAGTCTCTGGTGGCTGGCCTGGACAAGCTCAGTCCCCCTATGTGTCCCTGCACAGAAGACTCCTCAATAAACAACTTACAGGTAAGTGTGACACTGTTCTCCCCTGGAGGAAATGGCTACTTTGGAGGGTGGAGTCTATGGCATTATACCTTTGGAGGTCCCTTCCCTCCTCAATATCCACCCTCCCCAGCCTCCCCCACACACAAACAAATTTATAGGAATTTCCTAACGTCTTTCCCTCCTCTTGGCAATCTCCATATCCTCTCCCTGCCTCATTCTCTCCTTCTCAGCCATTCACCAATCTACCTTTTATCTGCCTCCCATCTTCAGCTACATTTTTTATTTATTTACTTCATTTAAACTCCATCTTTCTCCACAGTGGGGGCCAAAGCAGCTTACATTATTCCCTTCTCGCTTTTATCCACACAACTCTGTGAGGTTGGTTAGGCTGAAGGTATATGACTGGTCCAAAATCACTCAGTGAGCTTCCACAGCAAGATGGGGATTCGAACCTGGGTCTCACAGACCCTACTCTAAAAGTCTAACCACTACACCACCCTGACTTTCGTAGGGTGGCTGCTGTTGAACAGTAGCAAGAAGCCAGGCCTAGTTCAGTCATGCAAGTCGGGTGCTATGGAGTCACCCAGAAATGGCTTCCAGGCCTATGGTTGCCAACCTCCAGGTAGGACCTGGAAATATCCCAGAATTAAACTGAATTCCAGACAACATAGCTCTGTTCCCCTGGAGAAAATTACGGTTTTAGAAGGTGGACTCTATGGCATTATATTCAGCTGAGGCTGCTCTCCTCCCCAGACCCTGCCTTTCTCAGACTCTACCCCAAAGTCTCCAAGAAGTTTCCAACCTGGAGCTGGCAACCCTAGCCAGGCCTGGCCCCAATTAATTATCCCTCAAAGGCTAAAATAGGGCTGGAAAGGGCCCTTCCTTTTACTGACAGGCCAAGCCTGGAATATTGTGGCTGCCTAGCAACAGCTACTGAGGGAATATTTTGCTTAAAGCTACAGGTGCTCCTTTTTTCATTTTTGAGTTTTTAAAACTCCCCAATGTATTTTTAAAAAAATTTTTGCATTGTTCTGTAAACCTTAGGCCCCTTTCAGGTTTGTAGAAAGATATGTCTTGCTGCTTCACAGCTCCAGTCACCAGATTTAAGTATCCAAGGATGTGGCCAGCTTTGCTATTAGAATATAAGATAATGGTGTGATAGGTATCCTTGAAAGTTTCCTGTAGTTATATTACTGGAAATTCTTTGTAATCATATTATGTGGAGTAAATCTTTGTAGCACCTTACCACAGTAGGGTTGCTAGGTCCCTCCTGGCAACTGGCAGGGGATTGGGGAGGATTTACTGGGGGCAGGAGGGGGGCTCTGCTGATGTGCAGCGATGTGCCTACATTACTAACCACATGACCTGGAAATGACATCAGGGTGACACTCGAGTATTTGGGCAAAAACTCAATGATCATTTTGGCTTCTACTATCAAGTTTTTGCCCAAATACCAGAGCTCTGATGTGATGACACCACTTCTGGGGCATGTGGACAGTGATGTAAGCAAGTTGCTGCACATTTCCAGAGCTTCCCTCTTTTTCAGGGTAAGTTCCCCTTGCTAGCCAGCTGATCATAGCTTGGCAGTGGAGCCTGGCAACGGGGGACCCCCCGCCTCCACTGGGGGTCTGGCAACCCTATACCAGCAGTGGTAGTTGATTTATTATTTTTTACCTTGCTACCATTTAAAGTCCTGTTAAAAGGCTGTGCAGGCCCAACTCTAATCACAGTATTCTTGTTTCCTCGCCCCATGCCTTTTCAAGTACCAAAACAGCCACAGGGGTAGCCCTAAGGCTGCAATCCCAAGAGCACTTTCCTGGGAGTAAGCCCCAGTGAAAAATATAGGACTTCTTAGTAGATTTGCTTAAGATTGCTCCCTAAATCCAGCACCTTAAATCCAGCAGTATCTGTTACATCACATTGGCTGTTAACTGTACTGGATGTTACGTTTTTCCGTTCTTTCTCCTGTAGTGCCTCAGCACCCCTCCTCCAACAAAAGTAACTGAAGCAGAGAACTTTGGTCACAAAGGTCGTGCTGAAATATCCGTTCACTGTTTGGACACTGGTCGGTTTCATCATGGTCTCCCGGCACTGCGGCATTCTGTGTTTCTGCTTTTTCCTGATATATCCTCTTTTGCTGACTGCAGGTATGATTTAAGAGATGATCAAAATTTACATTTAAAAAATGTTATAGTGGTTCGGTGTCTCATGAACAACGCTCTGAACAAAGAAATTATTACACGCTATATCCCAAAATTGAAACTGTTTTGTATGATAGTGGAGTTTATTCCTTTACCGAATGATCAAAATAGAAAAGCCTGTTGTTGGGTTTAATCTGGTGTTTCACTGTTACATCGATTTTTCAGGTTCCAAACTATGAGATCAGAACACCAGCAGATTTGCTCTTCTGATATATATATATATATTTAAATATAACATTATCAGTTATTTAATACATTCAAATAGAAGCAGGTTGTGCCTATGAAAGCTATAGGAAAAGCTGTAAAGAAAAGCAACTTAGATATCTATGTGTTTAAATATTCACACGTTCATTTCAAAATTGCTTACCGTGATTGTAAAGGATTTGGATTTTTTTAATCATTTAGGTTCATGGTGTTTTGTTCATGGGCCCTGCTAGTTCGTTTTTAAAAATTAAACAACAGCAATTAAAAATGCCCAACTTATTAGGACTACAAGTTACAGCTAGATTTTGAATTTTATTTTAAAAATCATTTTCTCAGGACTTGATCATAGCTCTGCAATTTAAAATTACTTCAGAATGTAACCTCAGATTTTAGTAAACCCACAAAGTGTGTCAGAAAAATTATTTTTTGTGTACAAAACGTAGAGTGTCACCAAGTAGCACCAAGGCATCTTGGCTCTATGTCAGCTTTTTACTATCAAAGGTATGGATGGAGGTACCTGAATTCCTGGTCTGGAATGACTGGCCTCAGCGTGGAATGACAGTCCCCAGGAGTAGCAGAAGCATTCTGTGACTGGAATGACAGCCCCAAGGAGTAGCAGAAGTGTTCTGGAACTAGAGTGACAGCCTCCCAAGGTCCTTAGGAATAAAATTAGTGCTCTGGGACTGGAATGACCAGGTCCCATCCTTTTCTTGCAGAAAAATTGGGAACCTCTTTTTTTACAGGAGGGTTAACCCATTTCTCCCAATTTAATGGACACAGCCCCGGTAGCATTAAAAATGGGCAGCCACAGTTGCCTTTGCTAGGCAATCAATCACAATAGGATTGCCAATTGTTCAAGCCTTGACTTTTGTCAGGAAAAGTGGGGGGCTTTCAAGGCCTGTTCTGGCCTTTGAGAGGAGGACTTATTGGGGCCCAGCCTGGCATCAACCACTGGGTGACTTGATACCATGCATGAATCACCCAGGGCTGGCTGCTTGCTACTGTTTAGAGGCAGCCACACCATGAAAGCCAGTGTGGTGTAGTAGTTAGAGATTCAGAATAGGAACGGGTAGACCCTGTCATGGAAACTCACTTAGTGATCGTGGCCTAGTCACCTTCTCCCAGCCTAACCTGCCTCACAGGGTTGTTGTGAGGATAAAATGGAGGAGAATTGTGTAAGCTGATTTGAGTCCCCTATTGGAGGAAAGGTGGGGTACAAATCAAGTAAATGAGTAATACATATAGCTGAAGATAGAGGGTAGATAAAAAAGCTGGTGGTAGGTGCGAAGGAGAGAAGGAAGCAAGGAAAGGTGAGGATATGGGGGAAATGATGTGCCCCCAGCAGGGTCATGGTTCAGTGGCAGGCCATCTGCCTGGCATGCAAAACGTCTCAGGTTCAGTCCCTGGCATCTCTAGTTTAAAAAATCTGACAGTAGGGTATATGAAAGACCTGGAGAACAACTGTCAGTCTGAGTAGACAATGGTGGGCCAAGGGTCTAATTCATTATAAGAAAAAGAAGAGAAGAGATTGGATTTATACCCCCCACCCTTCACTACCTGAAGGAATATCAGAGCGGCTTACAATCTCCTTTCCCTTCCCCTCCCCACAATAGACACCCTGTGAGGTAGGTGGGGCTGAGAGAGCTCTCCCGAGAACTGCTCTTGAGAGAACAGCTCTGAGAGAGCCATGACTGACCCAAGGTCACACCAGCAGCTGCACGTGGAGGAGTGGGGACTCAAATCCGGTTCTCCCAGATTAGAGTCTGAGCTCCTAACCACTGCATCTAACTGGCTCCATAAGGCAACTTCATGTGTTTCCCCCGCTGAACAACGGGGCCTGCCCAACATCACCAAATAGGGTGAATTCAGCCAGCCAATAATTTTTTTTACAGTCTTCTTAAATCACAAGGAAGCCAGCAATATGCTACGAAGAAAAAAGCGATCCAATTCCTTCCTGGAAGAGCTGAAAGCAGGGTCACTGCAGCGAGAATGCATAGAAGAGAAGTGTTCATTTGAGGAAGCCAGAGAAATCTTCCAGGATAACAGAAGGACTGTAAGTAATGTAGCCGCTGAGAGAGGGGTCTTCCATTGTCCTGGGGTTTTAAATGCATCTTCCAGTTTTAATGACAAAGTGACTTGGAATTTAGGAGTTGAAAATGGGTAACAAGGTGGTGGTGTTGCAAACAAAGCAATGCCTGGATTTCCATGGGCACAAGGGGGTTAATTTTAGCTGATGCTGCTCCTCGGGACAGCCCCCGCCCCCAAATAGCTTGGGAGAGGGAGACCAACAAAAATTGCCTTCCCTTGCAGGTGTAGAAATCTAGGCAGGATCAAAGCTAGATGATTTTACAAGGAAGTAAAATTCATGTTAAACTCTATTATGGTTATATTATTATGTTTACAATAAGAAGCCCCTTGGCGTAGTGGCATAAGGAACAGCAAGCATATTTATCATTGGCGCAGGCTGCAGAATCTTTGTGGCTTTCAAGAGAAGCCTGGTCTGCCTCATCTGGCAGCAATGCTTTGGGAACTGGGCTGGTGACGGCGCTTTTGCCAAAAGTGGTGATCTCACATTTCCTCCTTTTTCTGGCCTTGTGCACTGAACCGGAAACGGAAATTCTGGCAACAGTGATGTCATGTCACTCATCTTCTGTTGCTGCCCTTTGTCAGGGGCAGAAGGAAAAAGAAACGCAGCATTGCTGCTTTGGGTGGCAGCCATGCTTCCAGTATGTTATCTGGTCTGTTTGAAGACAAGAAGTTGAGCTAGATCGGGGTGGCCAAACTGTGGTTTAGGAGCCACATGCAGCTCTTTCACACATATTGTGCCGCTCCCGGCAGGATGGCTAGGGAAGCCAAGAGGAGGCATGCCTCCCCAGTTGGTCTTCCCTTCCCCAGCCGTTGTTCACCTCCCTGGGTAGGCTTGGGGCGAGCAGAGAAAGAAAGCAACTTTAACTTTTAATGTATTCTCAAAGTCCCCCCCCCCCGCCAGTCCGCTTGGAGAATGCATTTATCTCTTTGAATCCCTCCTCCAAGCCAAGCCAGCCGGCGTGTGGGCATGGGGAGGGGGCTGGAGAACACATTTAAAGTTGCTTTCTTTCCACTCCTGCCTGCCTGCCTCCCTCCCCATTTATTTGCTTTCTTTCCACCTTTCTCTCTCTCTTTCTTACTCTCTTTTCCCCTTCCTTCCTCCCTCCCCCATCTATTTGCTTTCTTTCCACATCTTGCTTTCTTTTCACCTTTCTCTCTCCCTTCCTTCCTTTCTCTTTCTCTCTCCCTTCCTTCCTCCAACTCCCTCATCTATTTGCTTTCTTTGTTTCTCTCTTTCTCCCTCTCCTTCTTTCTTTCCACCTCTTTCATTCTTTCAAGCTTTCTCTTTCTCTCTTCCTTCCATTGTTCCTCTCCCTCGCTCACCATCTATTTGCTTTCTTTCCATCTTTCTTTCTCTTTTTCTATTTCTCCCTTCCTTCCTCTCTCTCTCTTCCTTCCTTCCTTTTACTTCCCTCCCTCCCCATCTATTTGCTTTCTTTGTTTCTCTCCACCTCTTTTATTCTCTCTCTCTCTGACAAATAAATATAATTAACAAACACATAGAAGAAGAGGAGATTGGATTTATATCCCACCACTTGGAGTCTCAGAGTGGCTTATAAACTCCTTTCCCTTCCCCTCCCCACAACAGACACCCTGTGAGGTAGGTGGGGCTGAGAGAGCTCTTTCCAGAACTGTCCTTGAGAGAACAGCTCTGACAGAACTATGGCTTGCCCAAGGTCATCCAGCAGCTGCAAGTGGAGGAGTGGGGAATCAAACCCGGTTCTCCAAGAAGATATCTGTATTATGCTCAAGGACTGGGCTGTGTTAGGACTCCCAGAAGAGGTAACTAGCTAGCTTTCTTGTTTTTCTGTGCATTTTTACTGCCACTGAATTATGTGCCTTTTTCTTGAATGTTTTCAATTAAGCTCTGCTTTGCTTTATTATGTGTGTGTTACTCGGTGAGTTGCTGAGACCAAACCCAGGAACAGCTTGGCTTGGTTATGTTACCACAGCAAGGCAGGGTCAGCCCTGACAACCATCTGCCCCAAATAAGAGTTTTGGGGAACTCAAAAGCCTGCATGTTTATGTGGCATTGGGTTGGTCCTAATAACATGTATTACTTGGATCGTGGTCTTGGCTTTTTGGATTTCTCTTCTGGACTAGCACTGCTATAAACAATTTACAATACTATTGCCCCAGTGTTGCAGATTGGGGATTGCAACTTCAGTAATTTACTCAAGGCCACTAAATGAGTTTGTGGCAGAAGTAAGATGTAAGCTAGGGCATTCCAAGGTCATAGTTCGTTTTCTGCTTATGAACTATTGTAGGGGTATGATAGCCTTTCTTTAGCTGTTAGGGTGAAGATACTTCTTGTAGTTGTGAAAAGAACAGCTGCTAACATATGGAGACATCCTTTTGCATGATTTGCTTCTTCTTTCTCCCACATCCTACCCCATTCTGCCTAGATGGAATTCTGGAACACCTATGCAGGTAAGTCAATTCATACAAACATTGTTGTGCAGTGCTTCCTACTAGAGTTCTTTCCAAATGTTTTGCTGACCCCAAATACTTTTACAGATCCCAATAGTTGCGACTCCAACCCTTGCCAGAATGGTGGGACGTGTAAAGATGATTATCAGAGCTATATGTGCCTGTGTCCTGTCGGGTATGAAGGCAGAAACTGTGAAACAGGTCAGACGGTGATAATTGCCATAAATAGCTTTTAAATTATATTTAGAATTCAAATCCAAGGCATTTCAAATGTATATGTATATGTGGTTCATGCATTTGAGATATTTAGGAAATGTGTGTGTGTTTTGAAGGGGAAGGTTTTGTTCTTTTTTAATTAGGAGTGCTTTCCAAATGGGGCTAGGAGGCAGATATAAGATTTGTGCAAACATGTGTGTGTAGGGCAATGTGTGTGTACAGAACAGGCTTCAGCCTCCTGCCCTCACCATTTTCCTGACTTGAAATTGTCCTAACACCTCAAAGAAATATTGCAGTGGGAAAGACTGAAGTCCACATGCACCATAGTCGTTCAACAGATGAAACATCACACACACTGAGGAACTAATGTCACTGTTACACAGGGTGGGACCTCAGACCCAGCCTATGTCTGTGACACCACCTATATTATCATTTCCATTGCGAAACACATGCAAAAGTTGTGCTTGCTGGTGAAAGAATCACAGTTTTCCAGGAGTTATGCCCTATGAGGGGCTATGGCTCAATGGTAGAGCATCTGCTTGACATGCAGAAGGTCCCAGGTTCAATTCCTGGCATCTCCAGTTAAAGTATCTGGCAGTAGATGATGTGAAAGACCTCTGCCTGAGACCCTGGAGAGCTGCTGCCAGTCTGAGTAGACATTACTAACTTTGATGGACCAACAGTCTGATTCAGTATATGGCAGCTTCATGTGTTCATGAGAGCCAGCATGTTGTGGTGGTTAAAAGCAGCTGACTCTAATCTGGAGAACAGGGTTTGATTCCCCACTCCCCCTCCACATGAAGACTGCTGGATGACTTTGGGCCAGTCACAGTTCTCTCAGAACTCTTTCAGCCCCACCTACCTCATAAGCTGCCTATTGTGGGGAGGAGAAGGAGGAGAAGGAGACTGAGCATTTTCTGAAAGTTGGGTGCATTTCTGCCATACGTCTGACTCACACAAGGTCCATGGGAGGAGGCTGAAATTGGTTTCCAGTTCCTTATGCTATCTTCCTAGTTCCTTATTTGTTCCTAGTTCCACAAATATTGAAACCATTTTTAAAATGCTGCACCCAAAAACACACCTTGGACTACCACATATAATACACCTCCACATTCAGCAGACTCTGACCTCCAAGTGGACCTGTGCTGTTTTGTGGTCCAAAGACCAGTTCTTGCACCAACTGCTCCAAACTGAAATGCCCCCAGGACAAAGGCACATTAGGAAATGGAGGGAGCTGAACCCCCAAATAATCTTTGGACCACCCTGAAGCACACATCATCGGGCTCCAGAGACTGTAATCTACAAGAGGACATGCACTGGTGCCTGGTCCAAGCACTGGTTCTAGCACCAAGAGCTTCTACTTGGGATGCCTCCAAGAAGCTTGTATTGGGCAGAAGTTTTGAATAAGGAACTGGAACAGCTGTTCGCCCTCAGTGTAGGAGTGAGGGAATCAGCATGTCTGGACACTGGGGGGCGCTACATCACCCTAAAGGTGTATAGGTGTTACCTCCTTGAATGAGATGCCTCTCTTTGTCTTAACCTGGAAGCTGCCCTCTGACCCCTCCTCTCTCTCCCTCTCTCTCCCTCTCTCTCTCTCTACCTACATGGCCATGGAGACTGTCTCTGCAGGTCTCTCCTGTGCATACAAGTGCCCTCGTACTCCCACACACATGATGCTGGACAAGCTGGCCATTTGCGATAGGGAAAGTACTCTTTAGATAATGTAGCCCGAATGTGAACTGGATCTACTTGAATAAATCCAAGTTTACCCTTTTTTGGCAATATACTTCTTGGGAGACTTACTTACTGCGCTCAGTATCACGCTTCTATGACAGGGCAAACTCTGCTATGTTAATCAAATATCTCAATATTCTGCACCCCAAAATAAGCTTTGGAGCACCACATATCATATAGCCCCACATAGAGCAGACTCTGACCTCCAAGTGGAATTATGCTGTTTCCTGGTTGAAAGAACAGTTCTTGTTCATCATTGTGTCTTCTGCGCAGTTCCACATGGGACTGTGCAGGCCGGCCACGGAGAAAACTTTTAAGCTTCTAGAAGATTGAGGTCGAATCTGCATTGGTATCTTCCCATGCTTTGGCAACGTTCCCGCTCCGTCTCAAAAAAAGATGTCTACATCTCTTTTGGATTCGCTCTCCTACTGTACTATTTTAATTTCTACTAGGGCTGCCAAGTGGAGGCGGGGGGCGGGTAAACCCCCGCTTTGGAGGCCCGATTTCTGACGCCACGGAATCGGGCCCCGGGGGGAACCCCACCCCTGCGTGCGTGTCACCAGGAAGTGATGTGGGCACGCCGGGCACGCTGGGGGCAAGACAAATAGACTGATTCTCTGAAACTGTTGCCCTACCCTTCTCAACACCAAAGCCCTGCATGTCTCCAGTGTCAAAGCCTGAAATAAACTCAGCACTGGAGAACTGCTTCACCTTGACATCAGAGCCCGGCATCGCCTCGACTCCATCTTTCTGACTCTCCTAGTCATTGGAGCCTCAGCAAGAAGAGGAGTCAGCCGAGACACCCCTGAATGCCACCAACATTGGTGGGAGGAGCTTGGGTCCCCCTAGTCTTCAGAGGGTGATGTCTATAGGGTCCCTCTCTCATCAGCGGGACCAAATCAGCACAGAGTTGGTGGGCTACCTTTCACTCATCCTCCACAGGATTTTTTTCCCCACAGGGACCATTGGGTTTTTACCCTGGCATGTATATGCCACCTTGGTAGATCCCCACCAGTCATATACACTGTGGCAAGTTCCTTTTCACCAACCTCCTACAGTTTGGTGTAGTGGTTAAGTGCAACGGACTCTAATCTGGAAGAACTGGGTTTGATTCCCCACTCCTCCACATGCAGCCAGCAGGGTGACCTTGGGTCAGTCACAAGTTGTCTCAGAGCTGTTCTCTCATGAGCAGTTCTTGAAAGAGCTCTCTTGCCACTGCCTACCTTACAGGGTGTCTGTTGTGGGGAGAGGTAGGGAAGGAGATTGTAAGCCACTCTGGGAGTCTGAGTGAAAGGTGGGTATAAATCCAATTCTTCTCCTGTGCCCCCCTATAAATGGCCTTCAACTTCTACCAGATGAGAGACAACTTCGGCATTGGCGGGACACTCTCCATCAGAGCCAGAGGAAGGCGGTGAACAGGATGCTTAAGATGAAGCAGAATGCCTGTCCATGCCTTCTCCCAAGGATGCCATGGGAGATCCCTTGCCTATTTCACCAGCTGAGGACTTAAAACTGTGCTCAGAGCAGGTGAAATTACTATGAATATATTGTGCTACCATTTGGGTTGGCTACAGTGGCATAGACTCTCCATCCCAAGACCCATCATTAAGCATAGTGAAACTCAGATGATATGAACACACTCCCTGCGGGACTTGTTACAGTTTTGCAGGGCCTGTAAGACAGAGCTGTTCCACCAGGCCATTGGCTGAGATGGCGGACACCCAATTATTTTGGTCTCCCCTGCTGAGAATCTGCCTGTTGTAATCCACCTGCGTGAAAGAGTGAACATCGCACCTTCAGCCGGCAGGCCACCTCTCTGTTGCTTGTTTCAGCTCTCCTGAACAATTATGTTTTACACATTCTGGAATCACTGGAACATGAGAGCCCCCCTGACCTGTTTCAGCATGCCATTCCACAGGGTGGGGGCCACAACAGAGGAAGCATGGGTACAAGCCATTGCTGAACTTGCCCATTTGTAGTGTGGCAACCGCAGAAGGCCCTGAATGGATGAGCGAAGCTGTCGTGGCGGAGCGTAGGTGGTGCAGATATGAGGGTCCGAGACTACGAAGAGCTTTGTATGTGATAACCAGTACCTTGCACTGAACCCACCCCAACAGCATACAATTAAACATAAAAAACAGTAACATATTTTCTTTGCACCTAGCAGGCACAAAGTTGTTGGCATAAATTATAACACTGGACGGCATCAGGAGATTAGGTGCACCAGTGGTTAGAGGGCCCTGTGAAGGTGTGATTCTGAAGCCTGAGCACCAGGTTTTGGACCTGGTTCCTCCTCCTCCTCCTCCTCCTCCACATTCTCCCCACTAGCTTGCTGTTCCTTAGAGCGTCCCAGGCTCGCTCCCAGCCAAAGTCCCTCTCTATCCCAGGCGTGCAACACAAGGAGGTATCTCAATGCAAGGTAGCTTCAGGTAGTTTGGTGACGGGAACAGATGGGGGAGCACCGTGCTGCTACACGTGATGATGGGAACTGCAAACCCCTTAGATTCCACTCTAGACATCAACACTGTGCCTTACATGGGTATAAAAAAAATGCACAGAAGTAGAGTCGTGATCACAACATAAGAATGATTGCCTCCAAAACCCTTAAAAGATCTTAGAATCATCGCTTCCCAGATCGCTGAGGGCTTTACAGAGAACAACAAACAGTAGTATGATGATGGAGGTACTGGTCTAAAGTTTACACCTAGGACAAGGGAATGTTGTGAATATGCATGGTTGAAAGCTTATTTTGGGTGCCAGAGCCAGTGACTGGACCAGGCACCAGTGCATGTCTCTGGAATCTGGCGATGTGTGATTTGGTCTGGTCCAAAGTGTTAAGTCGTGTGCTTAACAAAGAGTCGGAGAGTGATTCAGCAAGAATTGCGGTTTATTCTTCAGCTTGGTTACGATCGCCAGCCAGAACCATCATTCGAACCACTCGAGCCAAAAGACAAGCACTGGCTGCTCTGTATTTAAACATCCCCGGCTAGTGTAGCCACACCCCCTGTACAAATAACAACCTATTTTCCCGCGTTTTATACGGTTTGAATTCCGGCTCTAAGGTCCCTGTCGGCCACCCCCTCCATACCCAGTTTAGAACACGACTGAGCACAGAGTCTTTAGCTGTCGCAGCAGCAATGTCCTTTACTGACACGGGTGCCTCCGGCAGTTCCTCAATAGCCAGAACTGAGCAAGTAGGAGCAGGGTCCAAGTCCTGGCCGGGCAGAGGGCAGCGGCTGAGCGCATCAGCGTGTCCAATCGCCTTACCCGGCCGGTGTTCCAAGTCGAATTCATACGCCGAAAGGAACAATGCCCATCGCAACATGCGAGCGGACATAACATTAGGGAGTTGCCGGTCCTGGGCAAAAATCCCTAGCAAGGGCTTGTGGTCCGTTACCAAAATAAAACGTCTTCCAAATAGAAAGTCATTAAACTTTTTAACAGCAGAAACAAGTGCCAAAGCCTCTTTATCAATCTGTGCGTAGTTTTTCTCTGCTGCTGTTAACGACCTGGAATAGAACGCTACGGGGGCCTCCCGTCCGTCCGGCATAACATGGCTCAGAACCGCCCCCACCCCATATGGGGACGCATCAGCAGCCAACACTAGTAACTTGTTCTCATCATAATGTGTCAGCACAGCATCTGATGATAGCAATGTTTTCACCCCCTTAAACGCTCGTTCGTGCTCCGGGCCCCACCTCCACTTGGTGTCCTTGTGCAGGAGGTTATGCAATGGGGCAGCCACCGACGCCTTATGGGGCAAAAAGGCGTGATAGAAATTAAGGAGTCCTAAGAAGGACTGGAGCTCCTTTTTTCCCTGTGGCCGTGGCGCGTGCTGTATTGCGGATACCTTATCGTTTGTGGGGTGGACCCCGAACTCATCCACCCGGAATCCCAAGAATTCAACACTGTGAACACCCACCAGGCATTTAGACCTTTTTACCTTGAGCCCCGCATCGGAAAAACGCTTGAGTACTTCTCTGACTCGATTCAACAATTCATCTTCGGATTTGCCCGCTATTAGCACATCATCAAAATACGGCACCGTGCCGGGCACTCCCCTCAGCAATCCCTCCATGAGACTTTGGAAAATCCCTGGTGCAACGTTCACTCCAAATTGGAGTCGGTTCACTCTGAACGCCCCTCTGTGCGTTACTATCGTTTGGGCTTCAGCGGCCTCCTTTGTTACCGGGAGTTGCTGATATGCTTGGGCTAGGTCGAGTTTTGCGAATATTTTGCCCCCTCCCAGTGACGCTAAAACGTGACTGATGACCGGGACAGGGTACGAATGCTGCTGCAAGGCTTTGTTAATGGTGCACTTGTAGTCAGCGCATATCCGAATTGACCCGTCAGGTTTAATAGGAGTTACTATGGGAGTTTCCCATTTGCCAAAAGGGACTGGTTCCAAAACTCCTTGTTCAACCAACTTATCGAGTTCAGCCTCGATCTTTGCCTTAAACGGAATGGGCACTTTTCTGTACTTAAGGCGGATGGGCCTAACACCCGGATCCAAGTCAAAAGACACTGGGGGACCGTTATACCTTCCCAAACCTCCCCCAAACACTTCAGGAAATTCAGAATATAATACAGCCCATTTATTTTCTACAACACTGTTAACTCCCACAACAGCAATACCCAGAGGGTCAAACCAGTCCAACCCGAGCAGGTTGGTGCGGTTCCCCTCAGCTATTAAGCATGACAACACAGCACATTTCCCTTTGAACTCTACTGTGAACGAATCCCTCCCTGCCAGAGGAATTCGATTTCCCTGGAAATCGGACAAGCGGGTGTCCGCAGCCCGCAACCTCCGTCGACTCCGCGTTGGAAACAGCCTGTGCCACGTCTGCGTCGATAGAACGGTGACCGCCGACCCGGAATCCACCTCCATCTCGCACGGCGCGCCGTCGAGGCAGAGGGAGACGGGGATCTTCTGCTTGCTGTTTGTGCTGCAAATGGTGGCCTCTGATGACAGGCTTCCAGTCATCTGTCGGTTGTCTTCTTTCGTTGCGGCTCGGGGACGTTGGTGCCGTCGGGGCGATGATGCGGGTGACGGCTTGTTCGCTGCTCTGCATACCCGGGCAACATGCCCCCGCTT